CTTTTAGAACATTTGTGCTCAAGAGGATGGGCATGTAGCACGCCAGATTTAGACGTAGACTGGAGGATGTAATTAAAATGTACCTTAAATAAATGTGTGTGGAGTGGTGTGAAGTAGATTCACGTGACTCAGGATACGTCCAATGGCGGGCTCTTGTGATCACATGATTCTGCTTCATTTAGCTAGTTAGTTGTTACACCGTCTGGGTTTTAAATTAGTTCTGTTACGGGGGAGGGGGGTTGCAGACATTCAGACGTCACGCATAAGAGACACGTCAAATGAGAGTGTATATTATAAACCGACCCAAGTGCAGGTAATCTCGTTTAGAAAATAAAACGAAGAACAACAGACTCCCTTTCTTAACCGTCGCTGTACCTGGGTCATGGAATGTCAGTAAATTCGGTGCCTCCAAACACGCCCATGAAGTGGAATCATAGGTGGCCATGCTCGTAAACCATATTATCTCTGGTATAACTGCTATTGCCACTGACAACCTAGAGAGTCCTCCTCCACGGCGAGGGGCGGTCACATCACGCCGATATGAACCTCGTGGCAACCGTGAAAGCTTTGTTTTACGTTGTTATATGTTAATAAACATGTTTAACGAGACCTGTAATAAAGTTGTGTCTTGGTGAGTAGACAAACGATTCCTTCTCGTTTTACGGTGCTGTACCACAGTTGAAATGTGGTTGAATGAACCTGCAGTAAGTTTCGTGTGCTGTCTCTAAAATGGGTGTAAAGATTTGTTTTTCAAGTTGAGTCTCATTTCCTCCAGTTCCCAGCTTCGGTCTTTTGCCAGCAGAGCGGATTCCGTGTACTTTTACACTGCCGTTGAACTGAGTGTAAGCCTCCAAAATGATAATTGAGCCTGACAAGCTTTAGAATCTCTCTTCCCTTTTTGGAGCACGTATTTCCTACTCTCTGATACCGCCATATTGTACGGAGCTCACGGGTTCGGTCCTCCTTGCAAAGACTAGATTTCTTTGTTACAGCGAATTGCTCTCAACGTGGCCGAAAGCCTCGCAGTGAAATTTTCATGTCCATGCTTGAAATGTTAAATCATCTCCTTGTCTTGTCGCCACTTCACGAAAGCGTGCGGGGGCGAGAAGAGAAAGCTCCACGTGTTCTTAGCCTCGTTGGTCATCTCACGACGTAGACCTGTTTGTTTTAGTGCCTGTAACCAACTTTC